AATCTTCCCTCTTCTCTCTTGTAAGACTATTGACTTCTCTTGTTTGACCTTGCGTTGAAATAACTCACGACGTAGTGCGAGCCATTGGGGGTAAATTGATGTTTATATGCCATTGGCTACTATTATAACGATTGACAGAGTGAAAACACACTGCACCAATCACCAACCGCGTTGCGTTATACAAAGAACATATCTAGAGCCCTCTCAAGTGAAGGCGTGGTGATCACAAGAGACGATCTCATATGTTAAACACGTTTAGTCGATTTAAGACCCAACAGCTAAACCACAAGTCAAATGGCTATCCATCGCTATTCGAACGCCGGATTTTGAAAAAATATAATATATACCTTGTTGACCCGCTGCGGGAAAGTTGTAATTGTTTGTTTGGCTTGTCCCAGGGGGGCTATCTTATGACTTCCGAGGCAACTTGCTGAAATGTCCTTCTGTGTCAATTTACTTGATAAGAAGATCGGACAACTAACAGAAACGTGAAGGGGACAAGGTTTTTATTCGTGTTCACCATCGAAGCCATCAATGACAGATTAAAACAAGGCGATCGATAAGAAACCGCAAAGAAGCCAAAAGGCTTCTCGCGTTTAAAGAGATCTTCTTAACCGAAAAATAGTCAACGTCGCTAAATCAACCATTGTTCTCAGAAAACTAGCAATAAAACGTCAAACAACAGCTAGGTGTGAAATTTCCAGGCATTATTGATGGTAATTGCTTAAAACCAACATCCGGCAAGTTGAAAGTTTCCGGTCTTTGTCCTTGCCTTGTTTACAATGATAGTAAAATCGTTTAGATTTGCTTTGCACGTTTTCGTGCAGCGTTTTCGCCTCGATGAAACTTTGATTTACCCTACTGTTAAAAGTTTACTCAAACGACCACAAACAGACGTCCTACTAGCTCGTAAAAACCGATGAATTCTTCCACAGAGCACAGATTTCTGCCGGAGATTTCTACAAACGAGGAAATATTCTCACTTACACAGTTTGGCTGTCAAGCAAGATTTAAAACGAACAGATCTTCAAGCGATATTACAGCAATTTCCGCAGGGCTCGAATTCTTTGAAAAAACAAGTAAACGATCTTCATGTATTTTCCGAACCATCGCAACTGTTTGGATTGCGGTTAAATCAAAACAGAGTTTTTTTTCAAGCCCACCGAAATTGTTTGTGTCTTAGCAGACTAACAAAGATTAATGCGCTTGCCCTGCATTCGACCTTTCGCTCTTGAAAATGAGATCATCCCTCGATAACGGGATCATCAACTTGATATCCCACTGTGGTGTCTGCTAATCTGCCTTGTCCGGACTTGTCAATGATGTCTTATGCAGACAATCCGCCTCTCTGGCATCTCTGGAAGACAGACAGGGAAAATTTGCTCCAGACAACTTTTCCTCATTCCGTAACAAGGAATTTTAAGCTTGAAAAAAAGAATCTACTATCATAAAAATGCAAGCAAATAAAAATTCCTCAGTGTTCGAAGGACAACAGCATTCTTTGGCTAACTTTGTTTGAAGACAACCCGACAAGGAAGAGTGTCACACTTGCGAGAGTACGCGCGAGAGTTCGCTTCACTCACGACCGAAGAAAATGAGGTCTTCCTTTTTCTATGCTGAAATAAGACGGTGTAGCTCTACGTATGATTATGTACATACAAAACTTAGCGTCGGCAATATAGTAGCGGAAGCATATGTAAATTCAAATGCTTCCGGTAAAAATTTGCGCAATTATCAAATTATCTATCTGGCGAGCGGCGAGCACATCTGAATCATCTACGGCCCACGTCTACAGCAATCGACAATACTTTTTCGTTCCGACATAGTTTCGTTTGCTAGGTCCTGAATGGAGGAACAGAACTTGTAAAAAAGGTTATGTTCGAAACGGGACGTCGAAATATTAAAGGTAATTCCCGATAAATAAACTATCGGACGATTTTTTACATGCCATGGTTTGATTTTAAAAGTGAAAAAGAGATAATAACTTAAACATTTTCCTCACTCATTTTGTTATTTAAGGCCGAACACAGAAAATGCTCAAGAGATTTCGTTTGAATGGTTACACCACAGGATTTCACCTACCGACTCAAAGTTGGAACATACATAGTTAATTAATAGTACCATGTGAAAGTGCTACTGAAGAGGTTTCATTTGAATGGTTACACCATAGGATTTCGTCCACAGACTCAAAAGTTAGTCCTACAAACTAAACAAATAGTACCATGTGAAAATACTACTGAAGAGGTTTCATTTGAATGGTAACACCATAGAATTTCGTCCACAGACACAAAAGTTAGCACAACATACTAAATAAATAGTTAAGTACCATGTGAAAGTACTGCTTTGCAGTGAAAGAGGTTTCATTTGAATATGTCATCCACAGACTTAAAAGTAAGAAATACGTTCAATAGTGCAATGTGAAAGCAGGGCTAAAGAGTTTTCAGTGGATAATCACACTATTTATTTGACCGACCAAAAGTTAAAACTTTCATTTTTCCTTCTTTCTCTGTAAAAAGGGAAAATGAAAGATGTAAGGTAAGTTGCCCACAAGTAGCCTGTGTACAGAAGTCCCCCTTGTCTCTTCTCCCGATTTTTTTCTGAGGAAGGGGGGACGTCTGTACACAGGCTACCCACAACCAAACAAGCTTATCATCAGCTGATTCGACCACAGGAAAGTTGACTCAGACACCCTTCATCGGCGATAGCTTTTCTGACTTTTCTCCGCGTCACGAAAGAAAAATAATAAAATTTATGATGTGCAGACTTCCCACAACGGTGCAACAAAATAAGAATGTCAAGTGAACACGAATGGCCCGTGAGAGTACATGTAAACGGGTTTCAGGTTTGGATAAGTATTGGGTGGATATGAGCTTCTCGCGTTATTAAATTTGGACGTCGATTCAGAAGAATTTGGCAATCAAATAAATTCTCAGACCAGGAAAAGGCTCTCTGTGAAAATTTTTAATTCGCTGTCTGAGTAAAGTGAAACGTCCGAGCATTTCAAATGATGTATCCTACTTCAAATATAAAAGGGAGTCTCAAAATTAGGATATAAGTCGTATGCATCCACTCGTGACGTAAGGGCATTTTAGGGGAGTGTTCCCAAGGTCACTAAGGGACTCGTCAGAAATAAGCAGGGGAGGAGGGGGGTGGAAACAGAGGGAGGGTCACAACTTTTTGAGACTGCAGAAAAGGGAGGAGTCATGAAAAATGGGCCGTTAAAAGGGGGAGGGTCATGCAAATGTGTGTGCGTGTTCATGTAGAGTTTCACCCACAGAAGAAAAAAAAATTCTTTATCATGTTTCCCGCCAAAATGACGCTGGTTCACGCGTGAGCAATACTCAGCACTGAGAAAATCTCGCACTCGAATATTCGTCCTTGTCTCAGAATATAAAGCTCTCTAATTACCCAAAAGTGTCCGCAATACCTGCCTATAAGACCACTCACCTCAGTGAGAATAACAAGTGGCAATGAATGTAGGAAATACATACAGCTATACAAGACTGGGATCAATTGAGGTTTTTGTGTAACTGACCACCTACCCCTCCCCTAAGTCACAATTTTGCCCTAAGTGAGAAGTAAGTGTTAATGCTGATTTAGGGGAAAGGTGGGCGGTCAGTTACCCCGAAACCTCAACTGATCCCAACCCTGACACCTGGTGCCAATTCCTTTCAATGAGGCCCTCTAAGAGCCCCATTAAGGGGGTTACATATGTCCCTAATCCCTAGGATTTCAAAGCCTGTCGTTTTGCATATTGAGAAGCAAGCCACGTCTCTGTTGGTATTACACATTTGAATTTGCACTTTTGTCTTTCGCCATCGCAGTTTCAACCCTTTTTGTGTCGTTTGTCACCATTCTGCTGTCCTATGTCGCTGTTTCAAGGCCATGTTGCTTGATGGAATTTTACCCTAACTAGCAACAGTGCCACTTCAATGTCATTCATCAGTCATTTTACTGTAACTTTAAATTGACACAGGTACCCCAAGCTCACAAGAAACAGAAAACATAACAGAAATATTATAAGGGTTTGTATGAGGATTTCAATGATTGTTATATATGGCACAGTGACCATCCAACTGAAACCTCTGTTGCCCCTGATTTGACATTGTACTATTGATTTTTTTATGTATTTCTTACTCTTTAATCTTTGGATGAAATATTCAAATGAAACCTCTTACACTGTAAGCAGTACTAAAACTCACTAGAATCGCCCTCAAACAGCCAAACATGCTAAGAACACACCATAAATAAAACAAGTGGACAAGGTAAGAGGTTCTGTTTGAGCTTGAGGAATAATTATCGCAATTTTCATGCATTCTGATTGGCTCCCATACTAACTCGGAATATCATTGGATATTCACTGTTTTGGGACGGGATTCAAAATGGCTTCTTGTTTCGCAACAGTTTTCAAAGATGAAATTTTAGCGGTAAATGAAGCAGCTGCACCAACAAATACCAAGGAAGAGACAAAATTTGGCGAATCGGTGTTTACTGGTCACTAGAAAAAAATTTCTAACTAAATTGCAACAATATCATAAAAAATGATCCCCGAAACACTGTCAATTGAAACGTAAACAAACTCTAACAAAGTGACACCTTTTATTTACAAAAAGCTCCTTTTTGATTTTCATCCAACTGATTCTATGGTAAATACTAAAACAACTATCCCTCTTGGGGGATATATACCTCGACGATTTGCATCTCGGTATATACCCACCACTATTCACTTCCCCTTCCGGGGATAATTGTATACTATTTTTTTACCCATAAATAAAGATCGTAAAATCCCCATACAAACCCTTAAAATAATTTTCTGTTACAAAACAATTCTCACTTGTCAGCTTGGGTACCTGTGTACTGACATCTCTTTAAGACAGACAGTTGGCTCAGTCTGGACAGTGTCCATCTTATGAAGAGTTGACTGTATGATTGAATTTAAGAGCTGTGGATATCAAGCATTTTATTTTTATTTCAACTTTGCATAACTTACTTAAAGTGTACAAGGCAATGATCTCTTAACACTTCAAAATTCACTGGTGCCAGCCATGAATAAATTGTACCATAGTATAAATAGAACATAAAAAGTTAGTAATTCAAAGTGACTAATAGTCAGATCTACCCTCAAAGAAGGTGCTCATTTTTCAAATTTCCCAATGTGCACATTTCAAGCCTTTTGTTACATTACTACTGCCCTACCTTCCCGAGACTTTCACTTGAAAAGCTTGAATTGATTTTCTAAATTGCAATAGTCTTGTCTTCAACTATTATTAGTCCAAAGATCTTTCAAGGGGGCATCTCTACATAGTTCCTCCATTTCAAGTATAGTACTGCGGATCTCCATATGGATATCATTCTTATCCCTCATTGCATCTAACACCTGCATAATCAATGCCACAAAATTTACTAAAATGATAAATGAAAAGCTATTTGTGGAAAGAAGAACTCAGCAAAAACTTCTGAGCTCCAGCTCAGAAATGAACCTATGACCTTCCAAACACTAGTTGGATGCTCTGTTGCAACTGAGCTAGAAATACAATGATGGATTGCAACAACCCTCAACAGGATCTACATTTTCAAACTTCCAGCCCTGAATTATTTGAGATCACCTGACTGACCGAAAGTTTGTGATTCTTTTCCAACTCTCTTCAGTCACAACTTTATGTTAGATATTTATGAGTTCTACAGAGTCACATAAAAAATGTTATGTGTTCCTGTGTAAAACATTTTTTTCCTAAACTCATTTACAAATGAAAATGTCATCTTAAAATGTTATTTACTAGATTAAAATAATACTGTAAAGAAACTCTATGAATTTAATTATGGTTTCACAGTTTACATTAGATGGTTGTTTTCATTCATGTTCATCACAGCTCTAGCCTGCATAACAGGTGCTTTATGAGCCAAGCGAGGTGAATGCAGCATTTTGTGCAAAGCAGTAACAAGTGTGAAGCATGAGATGAGGGGAGGAGAAAAATAAAGCCCCTGTTACTAGTCCATTGTTCTGGCTCTTCTGCCCAGCTACGCCCACAAGTATTGACTGATGGCAGTGATGTGAAAAGGACCAATCAAAACACGATCCATTGTTCAAAAATTGTCACCTTTCTGGCTGCCAGAAACACCAATAACAGCAAAAAAAAAAAAGGAAATAAGTGCAAGGGCAGAATCACCTTCAATAATGTAAGACTCAGTGTGGCAAAAGTGAGACTTGCTCGGTCAAAGTTTAGTTATGTCCAAACACAGCAGCGAAGAAGTAAAGAGGGAAAACGTGTTGCTCAAACAAATTCCAAGGTCACGAGCTTATGAGTCATGTTTGGCCTGTCAAAAAAGTTAGTAAATCAGGCTTTTTCCTAACCTAGTTGGATGCAATCCAAGAACATCTTTAAACATTTCTTTTGTTTTTCTTTTATTTCTGGAACATTTGGAAATAAACGAAAGGCTTCTCGAACAGCATTGTCAAAAGAGCATGACAGTTACTTTGTTCCAGACAAACATGCCAGAATATTGCGTCATGTAGTGAACGTGGGAAAAGCCAGAACAATGGACTGGTAACAGGTGCTTTATTTTTCTCCTCCCCTCATCTCGCGCTTCACACAAAATGCTGTGTTTGCCTTTCTTGGCTGTTATCAGCTCAGACTATTTTCTTTAGGAGGATGATGGGTACCTCAATGCCACTTTCAGTGCTTTTTGTTAAAAAAGGGAGCTCCATGAGTGGCAAATTGTGAATAATGGGAAAAAACCTAAGTGACATCAAAGCTGTGTTTTTGGTCATCATCATTTTGAAATTGGAAGGTGACATTTGTATTAAGATTAAAGATGATGAAAAAATGATAAAAGGTCATGTACAATAATATTTAGATGTCACTGAATCTTTTCTAAAACGTAGTTTTAAGTATTGTGGTATGCTCTGGAACAACCTTTCTTACAAAGGCAAAAAGAGCACAATCACTTTCAGAATTTAAAAGCAAACTTGCCCCTTTGCTTTCTGCTGGATTAATTTTTGGTATGATTTCTTACTTTGTATGTGTAAATATTTCAATTTTTATGTAAATTATTCTCCAAAACCTCCCACCAACATAATATATTGTAAAACTAACTGTAATTAATAAATTTTTATGTAACTGATTATTCTCTAAAATTTTGTAACATTTTGCATTCAGATAGTGAACACCATATTGCTTTTATTTTTTGTAGGTCTTTGTAATATGCGTTTGCCTACACCCGACCTGAAAATCAGCTTTAGTTGTGTGTGTCTTGAGTAGTTAAATAAATTTGTTGTTGCTGTTGTTGTTGTTTCATTTTTAAGAACAAACAATATTATTTACCTTCCAATCATCACTCCTAAGTTGTTTGTAGATATCGGCCACTCGTTGTTGAAACTCCGCCTTTTCATACCTCTCTTCACCAAACTGGCCTCTCATTTCTGCATCTTTAATTGAAATGTCTAAATAAAAGACCACATCAGGACTTGGCAAACCTCTGTCAGGATTTTTACACCATTTCACATCAAAATCCTAGAAAAGGTTTTCAAGACATTTAGTGCCTGTTACTGTACTTAAACAGAGTTTAAACAGTGTTTAACAAAACCGTGTTCTAAGACATTTTCACTTCGCTCAACACTTTTATCTAATCACCGTTTCTCATGAACAGTTTCATGAAAGCATAAAACATACACTAGAAAGGTACTCACAACCTGGTGTAAGTTAGACTTCATCCAAATAAGCAACCCTTAATTTTCTAAAACTTTTAAAAAGCAGACAGAACATTTGAACTAATGAAGGAATGGAAAACATCATCCATATTGATATTAGTTTCCATAGATAAAATAATAGTAATAGCATTTTTATCTACTCAAGATACCGTAAAATTCCGAAAATAAGCCCCAGGGCTTATATTTTTCAAAGGCCCTTTTTGAGGAGCCTATTTTTGGAATCGCTTATATTCGGAGGGGCTTATGTACGGAAGGAAATTTGCATTTAAAATCGATTGGGCTAGCCTTATTCTTGGTAGGAAATTTACCGTTTTTCTTTGTTTTACTTTGTATTTGAGGGCAATTTTCCAAGTACAAGCCCCCGGGGGGCTTATATTTGGAGGGGCGATTTAACGGAGGGTTTTTTACGTTACAAGTTTTGGGGCTTATGTTATTTTTTTGGAGGGGCTTATTTCCAGAATTTTACGGTATCTCTCCCTTTGCGATCGGCTCAAATCCCAAAGAAAAAGATGACTAAAAAGAAATTCTTCTTTTGAAGAGGAGGAAGACTGTCATAAGTAGGAAATGAAGAAATGAAAAACATCATCAGCACAGACTAAAATAAGAATCCTCAATCTCAACATCATTTCCACCACCATCCGCCCAAGCAACATCGTAATAATCACCTAATGCCTCTCGATGGAACATCCCTTGTAAATTAATTTACTCATTATGTTATTTTGAGCTGTTAAAGCATTCAACATACATGTACGTATCAGGCTGATTTACCCATACACCATCATACATTGTCCATCGAGTATTTGTCGATCATGATTATACCCTAGCTTTATGCTATTCCTGATTTAAACAAAACACAATGTTTATTAATAATTTCTGGTCGCAAAACAGCCCAAATTTTGCTTTGAATCATGTTTTGCTGCCACCAAGTACGAACATCAGTAAACCATACATAATAATAACAACAATGGTTAAAGATCATTAAAAAACAATTTTTTCATGCAAACCTTCTTGGCAGCTGTGAAAGCAACTCCAGAAAAAGCATAACGATCCATTATCACCAAAGTTCCTTTTTCAATTAGCTCCTTTATTTTTGGCCTAGAAAAATTAACAGATTTGTTAACAAGAATAAACACCTAACAAAAGGTGCCTTGAAAAAAAAAATGCCATACAAAAAAAAATTGTAGGTAAAGAAATTCTAAGGCAAGCTTTTATTGGGAGGAATTTGTACTTTTTATTGATCACTCTGTTTGGACATTCCAGGAGTAGGGAAGGGCGCTAATTCCAAAAATAACCATTGGTTCCATTCAACATCAATATTGTGCTTCTCTGGCACTTCTCCTGTGTTCTTAAGAATTCCCACAAGCTGAACTCAACTATGCACTTGGTGCATTGGTGTATTTTTTACACCATTAACATAAAATAACATTCAATAATTAAAAATAATAATAAAAGTAATTATTACTCACACAGCCTCCCATCTGTTCGCAGAAAATAGCAAGTGGATCGCATGATCCTCTAACTCCGTTGTTCCTTGAAGATATGAATTGATGGACTTTCCTATGCTTGTTGTTCTGTCTAAAAGAAAATAGAGAACCTGGCCTAGGACATGTTCAAATATTGAGCTGCATTTTTTTATCAGATATTTACAAGCAAAGTGTCTTGAAGGAAATGGGGAGGGGGGAGGGGGCAGTCCTTTAAATAAATTATATAGGCCCAAAAGGTTATGGTTTTTGACTCTTTATGAGTAGATAAGATAAGGTTTTTCGCTTTCTGGAACCAAGGTATGGAGTAAGGCATTTTTTTAGGTCATTCGCCTCTTCAAAACAGTGGTTCAGTTCTCAAACAAGGCACCCTGCGAGCGGTGGCTACTTTTCCACAATATAAACTGGCATGCAAAAAGTAGTCTCTGCTAACAACCATCTCATTTTGTATTGTAAATGCACAAGTTTCTGGGCATAATGACAGATACTATGGTACATTTTCATTGAAAACACGCTCAGTGCTTTACCCATTGAGTCACCCGGTAAACTTGACATGACAGCAGATCAAGCTGATGCAATTGCCAAACCAATTATACCAATTATTATTATTTTTAATTTATTTGTCTAAATTGCTCGACAGAAATGGATGTTTGACAGAAGAGGCTTCTTTTCACAAGCCACATCTTTTCCACCCTGCAATCCTCTGCTTGCAAGGTAAAAAAAGGGTAGGGGAAACCACATATTTTGGTCGCCTACCCCACACACATATTCCAGGAGTACCCCCAGGACAAAGCAGGTTAATGAGTGGTTGTGAATAACCTGCGATCAGGCACTATTTTTTTCTTTTCGGAGGAAAAAGTCGGCAAAAGGTAACAAAGAACATGCAAAGAACAAGGAAAGGATGCCTGATTGCAAGTTAAGTTGTGAGTGGACTGAATGGCATAGTTAATAAAGTAGAATGGTAATGAAGCCCATCAGACTCCCTTGTTCTATATCTTTGTGAACCTGATGGCGCACAAAGTGCAATAGCATTCCTATTATTTTGATCTTATTGACCAAGATTTGTGAACAGAAAACAAAGGATTGTGCACTGTCAGGGAGCTTCAACATCAGCTACAGTACTATTGTTTTTGTCTTTGATCTTTGCTTCCTTTCGGTCTCCTCCACTAACTACGTGAATACGGTGTGAATGGTGAGCATTGAGCGGTTAAGTTGTCTGTGGTTAACATGAGGAAATACATGTATAACAGGGGGAAATGATCAAAGAAAAAAATTCAGAGGTACAAAGAACTCTAAAAGTATGTAGATTTCAGACTGACTGGTTCAAGGCCTTCCCTGGTTTCTGGTCCAACAGAGTAAACTGGTCCAAAAGCCAGATAGCCCAGATTATGATACTTTAATGTGCAAGTGTGCCAGGTTTCATTACTTTATCATGAAAGCCCTAATTATTTCAACTCTTGTCTGCTGAAATAGCAGATGAAAAAGGTTTTCAGCAGCATCATACTACCATCGAAAAAAAAAAAAGATTACTGCCATCGAGGGGTGGGAAGGCCGAGGAGAAAAGGGACAAACAGTTTCAGTATGACATTATTAGACTTTCAAAAATGCATATTGTACAGTGGAGAAGGATTGACTACAAGAGCTAATATGACCTGATCTCTAATTAATGCTATGATTATTTAGATCTCTACATTAATTCACCTGGAAAGCACAAGTGTGCCACATCTCGCCCAGTAGACTTCAAGTAGTCCACGAGCATCTGACATTGTGTTGATTTCCCGCTTCGATCACAACCTTCGAATGCCACCAAAAGACCTCGACCTCTCCGTGTAAGGGCGTTCATTACAGAATAAGCTTGTTCAAAAGGCCACAAAAAAGGCGCAAAGGCGCGGACTGAATCGAGTAGCAAATATTTTTTCAAAAAGAAATCGTAAAAAGTCCGGGAAATGTGAGATTAAATTTTGGCGGACCCAGCACTCCTTGCAACTCAGTTCCAGTCCTTTTCGGGTTACTGAGTTTGTCACGCATTGTCTCGTTTAGCAGTCACGCAAAACTACACCTGAAATTTTTTCGTGCTTTTGTGTTTGTGTTTTTTTCTCGTTGTTCTTTTGCTTAATTATCAGCGCAAGGCGCTTAGGGGAGACCTTTTCATTTTTTTTTTTTTTTTTTTTTTTGGGGGGGGGGGGT